ACAAGTTCTTATATTTGAATTTTGTTTCACTTTCTTTGTTTAGTGCTATAGCCTAAAGGCAGCACCTTTTACACACAAAAGGCCACCTTTGGACCCAACCCTACAAAAATGATGTTGAAATTAACTGATAATTTTCTACTGTAGATTTTTATGTAAGGGATTTTATGTAAGGGATTTTACAACACAGCTTTTCATTCTTCTTAGACAGTGTTCCTAAACAGTATTAGCAGAATATAATCACATCTGCTTAGGTAAACACACCTATGTTAACAATAGAACCACCCTCCTGTTGAATCATATTCTTCACAGCAGCTTTGCATGTCAACATTGTTCCCAAAAGATTGGTCTGAAGCTGGGAAACCATATCTTCAACCTTGGTTCGTAACAACAGGCCATCCCTAGTTTAAAAGAAAGAAAGAAAAAAGCAACGGACTAAGATTAATACTAATTTACAGAGAAATAATATTCATTAGACTTAAGAAAGAGACTGGGAAATGTGCTTAATCAAAATTATTCACAATACATTAAAAAATATCAAAAGCATATCAGTTGGCATATTAACAATTTATTATAGTTGGTCAATAATTAAATCTAGAAAAGCATTTATGTATAAATCCTAATAATTTCATTTTGAAGCTGTACATCCAAAAATACAAAACCATTCTTACTTTATTCACTATAAGTACACAGTACTGTCATATCAATTTTAACAGTCCTTCAAGACTTACACAGATACTGCTCTTGCTATTGGTTAAATAAGACATTTAAAATAGAGGCAGATAAAGACCTTTCGAAAAACCCATTTAGCCTCAAATCAGCAAACAGACTGAAACAAATTAATGGATTATATCAGGATAAATCAAAGCTAGGTCAACTATCTTAAACCAAAGAAGGACCAAACACATTTATAGATATTTCTTCCTCAATTTTTAGGCCTATTTAAGGCCTCAAATTTTACAGATCTGCTAAAACAAAACAAATACACACATTTTCGTTTTTCTTTGTTAATTTTTTTATAAATGTGGATGTTTGACTGCACCTTACATTTAAAACTGACCTGTTAATACCTGCAGCATTAACCAGATAGTTTATATGACCTAAACTCTTCTCCATTTCTTTAAATGTATTTTGGATGTCGTCTTCTTTGGAAACATCACAGCTAAATGCTAAATGACCTGCTGTGTTGAAATAAATGAGAGAGATACTCTTTCAAGACATTCAAAGACCACAATTGTCAATAAAGATAGAGAAAGCTGTAAGTGTATAGATTCTGAAAAATAATTAACAAAATAGATAAGATTCCTATGTTTACTGGAGCAAGTTCTGCTATTAGTTAGAAATCTTTGTCAGAAAAAAAGGGAAACCAATACAGTTGGCCCTCTGTATCCATGGATTCTTCATCCACAGATTCAAGATGTCACAACTAGAAAATATTTTAAAAATATATGAATTCTAAAAAGCAGAGCTTGATTTTGTCATTTTGTATACAGGACACCATTTTACTATCCATTGCATTTAATGGGACTTGAACTTGCACAGGCTGTTTGTTATCCATGTGAGGTCCTGGAACAAACCTCAGCAGATAACAAGGGCCCATTGTAATTCCATTTTACTCTGATTGAACCATCTTGTTTGCAAACATGATTCAAGTAATTCTGCTAATTTCTGCAAACAACAGAAACATATTTTATCACAAGATTAATCACATTTGAGCTGTGTGTGAAAAACAAACACCAAGGCACACATACCTCCCAAGCTATTTGCAGCAGTTTGAGCTAAACCCAAATTTCTTGCAACAAGAGCCAGGCGATATCCTTTCTGTGCTAGCAGCTGGGCAACAGCCTGACCAATTCCGCGAGACCCTCCAAAAATGGCACAAACCTTTGACATCTCCAAAGCGTTCCTGACAATTAATTGCTAGTGCTCACAGGCAATATATAAATTCTCCACTCACGTATTTATGGCACCGACCTAAGAGGCAGCAGGAAATAAATTGTACAAAATTACTGCAAGTTACAGTTTAAATTATAGTAAAAGTTAATGATTCTGAGAAAGAAAATGATCTATTATAACAAGTCTAACAGACTGACTGAACGTCTCATCTGCCTTCTCCCTTCACATATAACCTAAAACATTACACATTTATACTGTGTTAAAATATTTGTAGAACATCTCTCTAGTATACTCACAGATGGAAAACGAGTATATTTCTGCATGAACACCGAGGCATATAAAAATACCAATACAAATCATTTTGGGCAAGTTCACATAGCAGTTGGCACTTTTGAATGTTCAAGAGGCTCCACACTGTCTTATTATAATCCTTACAACAACTCTGTAAAACCAGTATATGTATACAGTTGGCCCTCTTTTTTCATGGATTCTTTATCACAGATTCAACCACGCCAGGCTTGAAAACACAGTTGGCCCTCCACATTTGCAGCTCTGATTTTTGCAGATTTGATTATTTGAGGTTTTGATTAATATGTTATCTCTACGAATCTCTAGGTCCTCCAGCACGACTGTCAGTGGTTGACCATAGAGTTGTGCTGGAGAACCTAAAAGTTCCTACAGAAAACATTTGTAAGTCTTCCAGCATGGTTCTATGATCAGCTTCAGACAGATTTTAACCACAGAGTTACATTGAACAACCTGGAGATTCCTAGAGAGGTGTTCTCGCAGGTAAAAAAGAATAGTGTTTTTTTATTTGCGGTTTCCCCACATTCACAGGGATCATTTGATCCGAACCCCAGCAAATGTGGGGAGGCTGTTGTATTTTAAAAAGGTATACATTCCAAAAAGCAAACTTTGATTTTGCCATTATTTTATTATGCCACTGTATGTGGCCAGTGATCTGCCTCAGTAAAAGAACATGAAGATCGATTGAGAAGTTATTAGAATGGGAAAACAATAGGTTATACCACAAGCTGTGCTTGCATTGGAGGTTAAGCAAAAGAAAATGTGAATCCATGGATTTTGAGCATCCATGGATTTTGGCATTCACGGAGGGTCCTGGAACCAAGCCACAGTGGATCCCAAGGGCCCACTGTATTATTAGCCTTATTTTGCCAATCAAGAGGTTGAGGCTGCAAGAAAATGGGTA